AGGATCCAGCTTTGAGCACAGGCAGTTGGGTTGAGTGTAAATAGCTCCCTGGACACGTGCAAGGGAGAACTCTACATGTGGTGGGGAAGTGCAGAGGAGAGAAGATGCTGAGCTGGGTTATTTATTGTCTTCAGGCAAGCCCCCTCTGGGGTGAAGAGCAAAAATCAAAAATGTGCTTGTAAAATGTCTATAAAATTAGCGCTCTGTTCTTTGCCCAAGTCCAACAGGATCTCAGCTGTTGAAGTTATACCCCTGCAAATTGCTTTGAACTTCCAAGAGGTTCAGTCCCCATCCCGTCTCCCTTCATCGATCTCTTCCAAGATCATCCCGGTGCCAATTACTACCTTAGGGATGTTGTCACCGGATTGCTGCTGTGGTTGGCAAACATTCAAAGCCTTCTGCCGCCATAAGCAAATATTGACTGTGCTGAAGGATTTCTGGTGGCAATCATCCATGTCCTGTTTGATTGCTGGATGTGTCAAGCTTGTCTCTTCAAGTTCAGGGAAGGAGTTTAAAGACCACGACAGAATTCTCCTTTCTTATAATTCCTGAGTATCAGAGCAGCTGTCATTCTGCCCAGAGCTCCCAGAAGAATGACACTGTCTTTAAAAAACAGGAATTTCGTGAAAAGTTTGTCCTCCCTGCAGCTGCCCCAGCCCAGGGGCAGGATGGTTCGCTTTCCATTTTCCCTTTTCTGGCCAAAGAGCTGCGAAAGTTAGAACTAAACTAGTTGTGGAGTGAGCGATGACCTGATGGCCTGTCCTGTTTGTTTTGGGTGCTTTGAGCAGTGGTTGAAGAGCTGAGCTAGCTCCACGTGTCTCATTGAGTGCCAGCTAGCTGCGTTCTCTCCATGGGGATGCAGAGGGAGGTGGAAAAAGATGAGTTATGGGTGAAACTAATCTTCTGGCTTGCATCCTTTCAGTCTGGACACCACGTGATAGGTGGGACTATGGAGCAGGAGCAGTTCATGAAGGACACAGGAGTGTTCTTGACGTACGATCCACTGTTAAGATATCCCAGCAATCATCCTTAAGGATGTTAAATTATAACGAACACAATCAAAGACAAATGACAAGAAGTCTAGGGACCAAGTTCCACTACCCCAAAGCAACAGGACTCTGTTCCCCCTTGTATTTTTAGAGCAGGATGCTTTCGCCTGGAGGAAGGGAGGCTGCAACCAGTCTAAGGATGCATGCAAGACCCATGAACTCCTGTTGCTCAAGAGGATGCTTTTTTTTTTTAAGCTGGTTGTTAAAGACAGACCAATAACAACACATTTAGATGTCTGTTTCTCCAGCTGCTGGAGCTATCTGTGAACTTTGCATTTCTCTGATAAACTCTAGACACTGTAGTCGATTATTAACCAAGTCTTGGCCTGTTCAAAGTAGCCTCGTAGCATAGGAGGTTAATACAAAGCCAGCAACACGTGCTCTACTGTGCATGTAGAGGGAAAGGAACTAATGTGCTTTGGTGGGAAAAGTCTGTTCTGTTCAGTGTGTTCAAAAGCACAAATCAGAGGATGGACCTGTTCTCTGCAAACGTGCCCTGAGCAAGCTGGTCCGTGCAAGGTAGGACAGCGAGCAGCACCTTGGCCCCAGGGCAGGTATGTGATTTGTGGCTGCCAGAGGGTTAATGCTGTTCAGTTTTATCGCTGCAGCCCCGTGGCAAAACCCCTCTGTTGGCAGGGCTGCTCCCCCAGAACGCCCGTTTTTCCGTTTTTCCCTGGAATGCGGCAGTTGCCAGGCAGCATCTGCACGAAGGAGCAGCAGCTCTATTGCTGGAGACATCATGTGCACCTAGCTGGGGAAATCAGCTCGTTTAGCAACTTCTGCGATAAGCCTGCTCCTTCCAGTGTGACAGATAAGCCTGTTTTCCGCCGTAGCTAGGCAGCACCTCTGCTTTGAGTCAGGATCTGGCAAAAGAACGTCTGATCTAGCAGCGACAGCCTTGACCAAGGAGGAGAGGAGACCCGAGGCGGTGGCGTGGAGTAAGGGAACGGTCAGCACCGTACTGGGGCTGGTGGAGCTTGGCGGTGATTGGGTGTTTTCTGAAAAATCAGTAAAGGTTTTTCTGTGCAGGGCGTTTCCATCCCTGTTTTGGCTATAAAAGCCTGGACTCGGCGTTTGTGACTCAAACACCAAAATGAAGTTGAAAAGAGAGAAGCAGGAGAGCTCTGACCATAGAGGTTCAAAGGGGGTAAGTATGCCGGAGTCCCTCCAGCTTCAGCCTGATGCAGAGGAAGGTTTTTGAGAGCTGCAGGTAGCTGGAGAGGAGGGAGAAGACTGAGATCTTCTGGGCTGACATCCATGGCTGATCTCCCAGGGAGAGCAGGGATGTGTGTTCTTGAACCCAGTTTACATCTGCAGCGTTGCGCTGAGGCTCCTGATTTTCTCTTTGCCTGCAGCTGACCCACTGTGTCACTTGTGGGTGACTTTCCCCTTCTCTGTGTGAGTCTTTTCTTCCCTACTTTCTCACCAGTTTTAGGCTGCACGTGCTTCTGGCTGGGGGCTGCCTTTCGGAGCAGCTTTTTTCTGGGGTTGTGCACAATGCAATGCTTGTGTACCTCTGGGTTTTCCTAAAAGGGCTGAATGTGGAGAGCTGACCCCCGTGGCTCTTTGGAGCTCCTGGGGTTTGTTTAATGAGAGCAAGGCAGCTGGCTTTTCGTCACCGATGGGGGAATGTCCACGCTCCTAGAGAATGGAGCTGGAAGCATCAGCTTCCTCCCGATCTTCATTCCAAGATCAACTTGGATTTTGCTCTCCTGCGGTGCCTGAAGCTCTGCAGATCTGTGTAGGTGAGCTGCTGGAGCTTCTGAGGAGTAGAAGGTGGACCAGCAGCTGTTGGGACAAATGTGCAATTGGGGAAAGGACAGATCCTGCATGTGGGACCTGAGTTGAGTGCTGGGACATTAAACCTTGCAGACATTCATGATGGTGACAGAGAATGAGATGTCTGAATGAAAAATTAGTTTATTGATGTAGCAGCAGTGAGATATATTAGTGAGCTATTAAAAAAAAAAAACAAAAAAAAACCAAAAAACCCAAACCAGAACAGCTCAGTCAACACAGCAGGGCCAGCCTGAGGACTGAATAGCAACTAAATTGTTATGAAAAGCAAGTTGCTTGTAACCCTGAGGTCGCTATACCCACAAACCGTGGCTGGATCCTACTCCAGATGACAACTTCACCCTTCTGTGTAACTGCAAAGTGCTGCTCTTATTCCCTGCAACCAAGCCCTCCCTGAGCTGCTTGGATAAGTTCTAATTGACTTCAGCAGCAATGTGACTAGATCCATAAACAGCTTGATCCCGAAACGTGGGAGGCAGAGTAAGCCAGCCTGTGAAAGCAGAACAAATGAACAGGAAAGGGATTTTTGCCACTTTGTGCAAAATATATTTTTTTTTTAAAGCTTTCCTGTGCCAATATCCTGGGTTATTTCACTAACCAATTTGCATGTTGGAAAAAGAATAATTGCAAACAACTTTTTTTTCCCCCCTGTGGGATGATATTTTAAGAATGGTAACTTAGTTATTCATCATCCAAACCATCCATCAATACCAGGAAAGAGTAGAATGAATTACTGCTAATGACTATGTGCAAATCAAGCAGAACAGAATGAGTTATAATGCAAACAACCCTTTGAGCTTGCTTTATACAGTAACACCAAAACACCCAAGGCAAGCCTTAAAGTATTTGTTTTTACTAAATGCCACTTATGCCTGGAAGCCAAGCCTGCCTCTAAAGTGGGTTTTTTGTGTTTTCTTTCCCCTCTGCAGGTAATGACGCTTTCGCTCGCACTGGTAGCACTGATATCTGCATTTGGATCTTCTTTCCAGTACGGCTACAACGTGTCTGTGATCAATTCTCCAGCCCCAGTAGGTTGGACTGTGGAGTGGACCATGACCTGGCCCTGGGTTTACAAACAGAATACGGCAGGAGGGTGACAGCAGATACGGGTGCTTGGGCGGAGATGCCTGTAATTCTCTGTGCTTTGAGTCACCGGGCACCTGGGGGTTCCCCGGGATAGAAGAGGGGCTGTTAAGGTGTGTAACGCAGAGATGGGGCGTGAGGAATGCCTCCCCTTCTGGAAAGCAGGCACGTCCTGTAAGGCAGGATAACTTTAGTCGCAGTTATCCACCCCAGGGTTCTCCATCCCTCTCTTGCGTTCATTTTCCAACCTAGTCATTCTGGTTTTTATCAAGACATTTGTTTCAAGCTTTATGGCATTTGTTGTTAACCAGCTTTTACAGCATGAAAACCTGACTGACGGTGCTAAACGTGTTCTGTGTTTCATTCCAGTACATGCAAGAGTTTTACAACCAAACCTACCTCGACAGGCATGGAGTGCCTATGGACAGCGGCTTCCAGACATTTCTCTGGTCTCTTACTGTGTCCATGTTCCCTCTGGGTGGTTTTTTTGGGTCCCTCATCGTGTGGCCTATGGTCAACAACTGCGGCCGGTATGTTTGACATCCTTCACTAGCAGTTAGCGGGGTTCAGAGGAGACTCGCCTCAGCGGTCGCTCCGGTTTGCCGAGCCCAGCGGGAGCGTGCCTGTGTCTCGCACACCTTGATCGTCAGATAGACGGGCGGGGGGTTAGCTGCTGGACTCAGCAGAGTACGTGTTGTCTCGCACGTGCAGAAGAACTTATATGGTATCAATATGGTCAAGGCCAGGCTGTGTGCTGAGCGCTGAGCCAGGCAGAGGGCAATGGTAAAAGTTCTGGGCTGGGAGCTGAGATTAGGACCAACTTGTGCTGCTTGGCTTTCCTGAGCGGTTCTTTCCAGAAGCCGTCATTCCCTGCAGGAAAAAGGGGACAATCGCCTTTTTCTCTTTGGGATGGGGATTCATTTGAGTTTTGGACAGTATAAAACCGAAAGGAATCTATCTGCTACTGGGGCCTTAGAAAAAATAAAATGAACCTGTTTCCTTCTCGGTTACTTTGCAGAAAGGGCACTTTGCTGATAAATAACATCTTGTCCATTACTGGTGCAATCCTTATGAGCACCTCAGAGCTAGCAAAATCCTTTGAAGTAATCATCCTTGCACGTGTTCTCATGGGAATCTACGCCGGTAAGTGAGAGGCTGGGTGGTAAAGGGAGAGCAGTAAATATGATCTTGGCTATGAGAAGGGTTTTTATTCTCACAACAGCTGGTTTCACAGGTAGCCCATTTTAGCCCTGCCTCTGTAACAATGCTGTAGTTGCTTGAATAACAGTTGGCATCTGCATGTTGCAGAGGTCCTAAAGATCTCTAGAGAACAATGGCAGTGAGACAGGAATTTCAGATGTGCAGAGGAGATGTGCTCTAGGTGCAGCCATCATTTGCAATGAGCATCTGCCAGGCACTGGAGCTCCCACTGCCGGGGAAAAGGGCTGATAAGAATCTGTTTTCCCAGACATCTTAAAGCAGGTAGCCTTTTGCTTTTTGACATAATCAGAAACAGAATAGTCCTAACTCAAAGTCATTGGAGACAATGCCAGATCTGATAATCCAGTCCTGGAACTGACTGGTCTTCCTGCAGGGGGAAAAGAAATGTTAAAAGGGAGAGTGAAGGGTCCAGAGACACCGGATTTACCACAGAGATAGTGGGAAGCTGAGGAGAGTGCTCCAAGGTTAATTAGTGACTTGGGATATCCTGTAAAGATCAAATGAGAAAACAAGAACCTGACAGAGGAAAACAGCCTGGTCTGTGACATGCAGCAATTGCAGCTGGTGAGCTACAGCAGGAAACCGGGCTGGTCCAAGGGCTTTGCTTTGGCTTTGGGCTCTCCTAAGCCTGGCAGCTGCTCTCAGCATTGGTTCTCTGAATAAATCCCAAGGCAGCTCTTAAGTGTGATCCCTCTTTCTAGTTATTTATGGCTGGCTGTCCTGACTTGCTGTTCACAGCCCTCGCTGGAGCCGGGGAGGTGGTGTCTGGGGTGGGAGGGATGGTGCTGAGCTGAGCCCAGCCAGCGCCTTGGGTCTGCGGGGACCCAGCCATCCCCTGCCCCGCTGCTGGTGGCACTGGTGACAGCCCTGTAGTGACAGGGCTTCATCAGCAAAGGTGTGAACAGTTAGAAAGCCGCTGTTCCTCGAACACGGTAGTGCAGGAGTCAGTGCTAGTGTGTCTTAACTGAGGCAATTAAAAGGCTGGTTATAGTGAGAACTGAAAACACACCTCCCGAGTTTAGTTTTATAACTAAACTAAAGTTTTAGTTTTCTAGTTGCTTTAATATTTGTTTCCCTGGCTTTTGGCTTTCAGATAACAGCTTGATCACCTTTGTAACTCAGCCCCCCAAGGCTAGGAACTTGAGAAACGTAAGATAAGAGTCTCGTGTGGTCATTTGACTCCAGGAATTTGGGGTTTGTGTGTCAGGAGTTACAGTGTGAGGATGGGAGCTGGCAGCTCCCTGGGGTTACAGTGGGTAACCACGCAATGTTCCTCAAAATAACCTGTGTCCTTAGTGTCCTGTTAGGTAGAAATATCTGCTCCAGTGTGCTACCTGTAAGAGATCTCAAACCAGCAAAGCTCTCTGCAAAATGTTACTGAGCGATTAAATGAGTCATCAATTTTTAAAAGCCAGCAAGAAGTCACATCCCTCCACCCTCACATCAGGTTGTTTGGATACTGATTTCTTTCTGATTTTCTGAGAGGGAGCGGGACAAACGTCTTGCTCCTGGAGAAGCCAGACTCCTGGGCCTTTGAGAGCACCAGATGCAGTGATGGATTTTGTGCCTCCCCCTTACTGAATGACCCCATGCCATGTGGTTTTTTTGTCCCATCTTTCACTGAAGAGTGAGGAAAACATTCCCACTTTATTCACTGGCCAGGAGATGATGTTAAATCTTCAGCTGGAGCAGAAGGGTCTGAGTGTGAGGTTTCCATATGTTCTGTGATCCAGCAGGGATCACTTTGGTCTCCCATGGGAAGAGGCATCTTCCTGAAGATGGTGAGTGTGCTGATGTCAGGCAGCTGCATGTCTAACGTTCTTCTCTAACTACTAGGTCTGGCCTCCAATGTGGTTCCCATGTTCCTTGGAGAAATGGCCCCCAAGAATCTGCGAGGCGCTATAGGGGTGGTGCCCCAGCTCTTCATCACCATTGGGATCCTCGTAGCTCAGTTGCTTGGTCTCAGCTTCATCCTTGGGAATGACTCGGGTAAAGCCCTGCCTCGGGACCTTTTCTGTGTGCTCTGCTGGGGACAGATTTCTCACAGTTGTCATCTTGTCTCTCTCGTTGCAGGCTGGCCTGTGCTGCTGGGGCTCACGGGGATCCCGTCGCTGATTCAGCTCGTTATATTGCCCTGCTTCCCCGAGAGTCCCAGGTATCTGCTGATACAAAAGGGCAAGGAAGAGGAAGCACGAAAAGGTACGGTATGGTCCTTTAATGAAAGGGGAGGTAGAATGGGATAGATCTGACCATGGGACGTGACTGACAGCAACCAACAGTGAAGCAAGCGAGCGTGAAATTCCTCATTAATGTGTTGCTGGTGGATGGAATTCCTGCAGCATTGCTCCTTTCTCTGCACGTGTGAATCCCTGACTTCCCACCATGGCAACACTGTTGGCCATGGTTTATGCATTGGTCTGTCTTGGTCTGAAGCAGGAGAGCTCATTGTAGACCTGCTCTCTGGGATCCGTAACTCACCTTCCTCTCCCAACCAGCTCTGCGGAGGCTGAGAGGCTGGGATGATGTGAATGATGAGATAGAAGAGATGCGCCGAGAAGACCAGTCCGAAAAGGAAGAAGGCCAATTCTCTGTTCTCAGCCTGTGCACCTTCAAAGGCTTGCGATGGCAGCTCATCTCTATTATAGTCATGATGATGGGCCAGCAGCTCTCTGGGATTAATGCGGTGAGTGGGAAAGGCCAGTGGGGTGAAGAATGAAGGGATGGACTTCAGTGGATGGTGCGGAGCAGTGCTGACACAGGAGCTGTGACCTAGGACATAGGAGTACCCCTTCTTCAGGGACACTGGTTCTGCATCACAGTGTGGTGGGCTGACCCTGGCCAGTACCAAATCCAGTTCACACATGGCACAGATACAAACTGTCCTGTTAAGGATGGTTTGGATGGTTTTAAAGTGTTTGTGCCTGGATCCAAACACCAATGTCTCCAGAAATCAAATAATTCAGTTCTCAGGTTTCTCTGTACCAGTTCCAGCATGTAAAAGCAGACAAAATGGGTTTTCTGTGTTCTGCCTTCGGCCACGTATAAACACTGCTGTGGTTTTGTTGCAGGTCTTCTACTACGCAGACAGAATCTTCCAGTCGGCTGGTGTGCAGGAAAACAACGTTCAGTTCGTCACTGTCTCCATAGGTGCCATCAACGTTGTCATGACTTTGGTTGCTGTGAGTTTCTGTTTGAGTTCTAGCTTGTCTGTTCTCCCTGGTCTGTCTCTGTTTCTGTTGGGTTATGTCATCTCTACACTGTGAGGTGCTTTGCATGATACGTGCCCTGCAGCGTCCCTTGGTTGCAGGCAGCTCTGTTAACCAAAGTGACTAATCATGCTGATTTCTCACATCTCCAAAGTGTTCAGTCTCCAGTCTCTAGGCTGTCCTTTTGCTGGCCAGGGTTACCACTCTGGGTTTTCACTCAGTTCTTGCTGGGACTGGGTACTGAAGAATGGCTTTGTCTACTCTCTGTGTTCTTGATACATTTTTGCAGTTCCTGGGTGACTTCATACCCATGATCCATCATCAAATTTCATTGAGTTTCTTAAAAGACAAAGACTACCTTAATAAATTTGTTCTGGAATAAGAAGTGCTGTGCCCCAGGTTTCTGGTCTCACCCTCTTCTTTCTCTTTCAGGTTTTCATTGTGGAATCCCTGGGGAGGAGAATCCTTCTCCTTGCTGGCTTTGGGTTGTGCTGTGTCTCCTGTGCAGTGTTGACTTTGGCTCTCAATCTCCAGGTGGGTAGTTGAGTGGCTCAGGTGATCCTACCCCTGCGTTTCTGGACCTTCCAGGGAGCAGGCCATGGGTGTGTTTTGAAGTTGCTTCTCCACCCTGGGAGGGACAGTATGGAAGGTCTCTGTACTTGTATATCTACCTAAAGTAAACCCAGGACAAGCTGTGGTCCTGCCTGTCTGAATATGACTTCCAGTACTCATGTTCATAATACCTGTTACATCCATTTGTTGGAAGGGAGGATCATACCCACACTATGGTTTTTGTGGCTGATTATGGACGTAGCTGGCAATGGAGGGTGACACTGGCTTTAGAACACCTTCAGGTCTCACTGCAAATAGTGCCTTGAATGGGTTGGTGACTGTCAGATAGGAACCACATCCAAGCTGTGATCCAATTCTTCACAGACCACAGTCCCGTCGATGTCGTACCTCAGCATCACGTGTGTCATTGTGTACATCATTGGACACGCTATTGGAGCCAGTAAGTATGCATGGTTTAGTCCAGTCTCCTCCACAAGCTGAGTAAAGCCAAGTGTTAAAGATGATCTTTAAGGTCCCTTCCAACCCAAACCATTCCACGATTCTACAATCAACCTTATTTCACAACTTGTGCTGGAGATGGCTTCATGGTTAAGGTGCAGCCATAGGAGAGAAGAGGTTGATTGCTGTTTGTGAGCTTAGGAAAGTCATTTAGTTGCCCTGTTTTTTTAATTTAATCCATTATTTGCTTTATTGGATGTTTCTAAACAGTGGTGGTTTAGAAACCATTGTCTGCCACTGAAATGAACAGTGTAATCTCAGAATTCAGAGTGCCTTTGGGATTTCAAAATATGCAACTACCTTCCAGGTCCCATTCCCTCCGTGATGATCACGGAGATGTTCCTGCAGTCATCCCGGCCCGCGGCGTTCATGGTGGGTGGGTCTGTGCACTGGCTATGCAACTTCACTGTGGGCCTTGTGTTCCTCTACATGGAGGTAAGATACGATCACACCACAGGGCAAGACTTCAGCTTAAAATTAGTATCTTCACCCCTGTGTTCTTACAGAGAGCCCTTTTAACCCCGAGAGCCATAAAAGCCCAGGTTAGTTCCCAGTACCTGTATGCAGGATTATCTATTAAGGCCAAGAAAGTGATGTTAATCAGCATTTTTTTATCACCTCTGTCTCTTGCACATGCTTTAAAAGAAGGCAGTTATTTTTCCAGATGAATGTCTGATTCTGAGTTCAGGAGCACGGAAAAGATTGCAAATTCCCCATCTTTCATTTTAGCCACTCTTAGCTTTTGATCTCCAGGTCACCAGTTCAACCTGATCCCCAACGGCAGTGCCCCATAAATTGCTGCAGTTGCTGATTTTAGCCTGTGCAAAGGGAGCTGGTGAGTTTAGTTTGATTTATGTAACAGACTCTCACCTCCTTTTCCAGTAAATGTTTGGTGGTTTACAGTAAATCCATGGTGGTGATATGAGATGACGGAATCTAGAACCACCCCTAACTTTTAGTCGTTCAACTTAAAATACGTGCACATCACCGTGGCTGCTTTTTTTGATAGGTGTTGCCAGGTTCAGTGTGTCCAAATCATGGCATGTACCCAACTGGAGTATTTGTCTGATCCCTGCTCTGTCTTCTTTCATTGCTCTAGGCTGGGCTGGGGCCCTACAGCTTCCTCATCTTCTGTGCCATCTGCCTTGCCACCATGGTTTACGTCTTCTTTATTGTTCCTGAGACAAAGAACAAAACCTTCATGGAAATCAACAAGATCATGGCCAAGAGGAACAAGGTGGAGATTCGGGAAGACAAAGAGGAGCTCAAGAATGTCGAACCTGTCCCAGGTGGGCAGGCAGAGAAGAAAGAAAACTTCAGCACTAAGCTGTGACCCAGGCCAGTGTTTGGCCTGGCCCAGATATTTTTCAGGATCTGTTAAAAACATCTATTCATGGATTGATACTGATCTTCACTCAGATCTTCTGCAAACTTCCCACAGCAGGAGTTTCCAAATAAGCCATTGTGTCTTGAGAGTGTTCTGGTGTGAGTGATTGTCAGGACCGTTCCACTTCACTGGGATAGCCACTGCCAAGACAAATTAACCATTCGTGGTATTTGTCACAGGGAAAGGGCAAGATCCTCAGCTAGCTCTGATTGTGATCAAGTAACCCACGTCCTAAGGTGATGTATGTCCCTGATGTCCTGACTGACACATCTCAGGTGACACAAGCCAGTGCTTGGGCTGGGTTTTGGTCAGTCATGTGCAAGGAGTGCACCGTATTCCTCTGAGGAACTGTGTGTTTGGAGGTCCAGCATGAGTGGTGGCCTTTGGTGCCCTGGAGTGGAGAGTGTCGGGTTGTTCTGAGGTACTGTGTAGATGGGCTGATAATGGTGTTTATCCCATCAACTCTTGGCCTTCCTTTGTGTGCTTCAAAGGACCAGCTAACCTGGAAATGCAATCACCATGGTCTCACCCTGCTCACCCAACTCTCCTTCAAATCAAACCTAGTCCTCAACTGTTGCTGATGAGTCCTTCCCAAGCCTTATTGTTGAGGTTAGGAGTCACCCATCTGGCTGATGCATATTCACAGCCAATTTGTACCCATTGCCTTGTAGCCTTTGAGGTATTTAGCTCATTTCACTCCCTAGGGTTTACCCTTCAGTTGTCAGACCAACTCTTAATAATCCCATATCCCTGCTCTGTAGGTATGAGCCAGTTGGAGCTCGTCCATCCCCCAGAGATACATGGTATTGAACCCAGGAAGAACCTCCCTGCTGCATTGTAGGAGTCAAATTCAGGTTGATTCCAGTGCGATGAGCCAGAGATTGGAGCCTGTGTTTACAAACTTGTCCAAACTTGTCTTTAGCTTCTCACATTGAGTTGCTTAAACTTAGTTTTTTGAAATAACTTGAAACCACTTGAAAAAGACTTCAGATGGTTTAGAGCTTGGTTCTTCTGTTGTCCAAAAAGTCCTATTCATCACCTGACGTGCAGTTAACCTATCTCACGTGTCAAGTTTAGACATGGATTTTATTTCAGGGTTGTGCAAGGCTGGGTGCTTGGTGGGCTTCCACAAATCAAGCACCCCAACCGGAATCTCTGCAGTGAATTTATTACAAAAAACTGCAAGTTAATTATATGCTAAGTACTTCCCTTTACAAGTGATTGGATAGTGATTTACATATTATTTTAATAAACTTACCTGTGGTTGCATCATGCAATCTTGCTACTGTGGCTATTCAGTGAGTAAGGGTCTGCTCCTGGAGGTGGGTACCCTTTTGTCTAGAGGTGTGTTTTGCTATGTATAGTAGCATATCATGAGATAGTCCACCGAAGGACAGTTCAGCCTTAACTTTCTTTGCCAATCTCTTTGTCAATTATTAATGACATGACTTGATAAATACAGTCTTCTAAAGTCCATATGTCGAGGTGGTTCCTTAAAGTAATGCTTTGCTCTTTTAATTTCTACTAGCCTAGTTTTTCTTATTATCTTAGTATCTAATTGCTAGGAACAGCACACAACACTCTGACCAAAGGGTGGGTCCTTGGCATGTAGGAAGATCTGCGTATGGGGACGCAAGTCAAACCCCTGGGAGGGATGTGACAATACGAAGAGTTGGACTGTGCCAAGCTCCGCTCTATTCTTTGCCTCTGTCCCACTGATGGAGGCTTTCCTCCCATGTACCCACTTGGAAAAATGACCTGGAGCACTAGCAGGTGCATTGAGCCTATACAAAGCAGGAGGAGAAACAAGCAAATAATCTAAGTTTTCCTTGGTTTCCCCAGCAAGCAGTTTGGATTCTTCTGCTGCCTTAAAAAAAAAAAAGTTGTGGGTCACTGACAGCTGGTGTCAGGCTCCAGAACCACCCCCCCAAAGAGGGTCATGGAGGTTTCTCCCCATGCAATGATATCTCCCTTCAGTTGTCCTGGTTTGCACAGTGCAAGTGCCCGAACTTCTGCAGGACTGAGAACTTGGCTCCACAGGTTCACCTGGGTCATCCACCCTGCAAAACCATTGGAGAATGTCCCAAGAAGAGTGTCTCTGTCTTTCCCAAGGACAAGTGTCCCTCCAGCCTGGCTCACGTAACCCTTCTGGATACTCTTGGCTTTCCCAGCTGCTCCATTGAGCCATAGATTTGCCATTCCAGCCTGGGAGGCCCATGCCATGCAGTAGTGTAGCCAATCTTTTGCCTTGTGGTAGAGGGGGAAGCTGATGAAGTGGCCTCCTATCCACAATCCCACCTCTGTGCCCACCGTCACCACCAGCTCGTTATCCCTCTCCTGGGTGGCGTAGGAAAGAACCGTCTGGCTGCCGGCGTGCTGGGCTTTTGTCCAGAAACACAAGGTGAAGGCTTGGAGAGACATATCATGGAGGGGATGGACATTCACAAAACTCTCAATGTTCTCCACAGGGAAGTAGAAAGCTGGAAAAGTGTGGGATTTTGTACCTGAAATAACCAAAAAGGCAGCGGTTACATTTCCTGCTGTGCTTCTAAATCAGCCCAAATCCTGAAGAATACCCCCATGGGAATGGGTAGGGCTGGGGCAGTCCCAGCTGGCTTGAGCCACGGTTACTGGCGTGTGTCGTGCCGACAGGGAAGGGGCTTGGCATGATGAAAAGCTTGGCTCCCTCACCCAGTGGTTTGGGTAAAATCACTTCTTTTCCCTTTTTTTCTCTTTTCTCATCTTGTATAAAATAGAGATGATCATGGAATCATAGAATCATTAGGGTTGGAAAAGACCTCAAGGATCATCAAGTGATCAGTAGTTATCCTAGGGGAACTGTGGGCTTAAATCCCTCACTGTTTGTAAAAATGTCCTTAGGTGTTGCAGGAGAAAGCTGCAGTTGCTGTAGTTGAAGAATTTCCATCAGCAGGTCTAGATATGGGATAAAATTCTACCTGCACGTATCAGTGCCAAACCTGTTAATGATTTAGGCCATCAAGGACAGCAGGGCGTGGGCTCTTCGTCCTTGGAAGGTAAGCTGGACCCGAGCAGCCGTGTGTTTCTTACCTACATGACTCACTCCGTTCAGCAGCTCTCTCTTCATGTCTTGGAGCTGCATCTGGATTTGTTCCAGCCTGAGGTTGAATTCTTCTGGATGGCATTGTTCTAGAGCAATCAGACAGTAGAATTTACAGAAGGCCAGGACCTGCACATGGTAGATTTTCTCCTTTCTAGTTTGTAGAAGGTGTGGGGAAAGCATTTGGTTTAAAATGCAGCGGTGCCTGGCTCATCAGCCACACCAGGGCTGTTCCTACAGCGGTTCCTGCACCGCACCCGTAAGGATCAGACCCACCTGAACCCAGAATTCTGGTGTGTGCCATGTAGCATCCCTTATCTTGGGAGATCCATGTGACACCACTGCCATCAAAACAGGGGCTGGCACACCGCCTACAGCCAGCACCACACTGTTAGAAGCAAGACGTGTTGGCAGCGGACAAAGAGGCACACGGGCCATCTCCACCCCTGCTGCTGGGAAAGGTGATCACCATGCCTAGCTTCAGGGATTTACAACTCCTTCCATGGGGGTTTCTTGTTCCTTCTGGGGGAAAGGTGGGTCCTGCCTGCTGCCCCCTTTACCTTGGGTGAGTTGGGCTCTGAAGGACGACTCCACCACCCGCCCGTTGAGGGGCTGAGCGTGCCGGTAGTCATTGCGCAGCGTCCTGTTGTGCCAGTCCAGCAAGGTGTTCTCCAGGAGGCTGATCTGTGAGCAACGCAGGCTTGTTACGGAGGGCAAGGGGGACAATGGTTCTGCCTACAAGGGCAGAGCAGATTGTGTAGCTTGGGATTAAACCCAGCAATTTGTTATAGAGGAACCCATGGAGTCTCTCACTGAGTATTAATGAAGGAAAGGAATAAACATGAGTGTTCTTATCAGCTCATTCACAATAAAAATATTTTGCCTGAATTGCTCTGTAATTAGTTTAATGTTATGAATGGCTTTGCCATGTTTTTGGCAGTTTTGGGGGGCTTTCTTGCAGTAATTTTTGCTTTGTTGATTCTGACTGATCTTTGCCTTTTTGTAGAGCTTCAGTATGGTTGAGTTTAACTGAGCAGAGAGCTTTCTTATCGCTCACCAGACCCTGGGTAACCTACCCCTTGCTGTGGTGCAGCATCATGGTGTCACTACAGCCACCTGCCATTGCAGTTGCGTAAAGCCTACCCCAAAAACCTTTGGTGAGAAATGCCCCGTTAGCTCCTGCCAAGCTGGTCCGACGGTCACTGGAGAATGGAAAAGGAAACTTGTGTTTCCTTTTCAGCAATGGCTCACCTGCGTGTGCGAGAGGACAATGGGAGAACGGAAGATGGTCCAGATGATGCTCTCGGAGCAGGGCGGGGTTGTGAGCGAGCCCTGGTACCTGTAGAAGTGTGAGAGGTTTTCTGGCAGCATGGCTTGGATATCCAGAGAGCTGAGCTTTGTGGATTGGCCTCAAAAGGAAACAGAGAGGCGGTATTGCCGATGATCTGTTCCCAGAACCAGTGCGTACGTACAGGCGTTGAGAATATCAGGGATGGAGAAAGGCGTTCCCAGGTCTTACCTGCAAACCTGATTTTTGCCAGTTTGGAAATGAATTCACTGTAGTAAGTATTCTCAAAGTGCCCATCCTAAACACAGCACAGAAACTTGAACACAAGGTTAGTGACCTGCCTGTCTTTCTATTCTACTGATCAGCGTGGGGGACTAATTGATGAATTGGGAGACAAAGAGAACAAATATTATCACAGATCTCTTGACAGGCTGGACAATCCTAGGCCTGATAAGGTATGTCGGGTATTATAGTGAACTACAAGGATCCTTTCTCACCACTTCTCAATCCACATAGAATTAAGTGTTCCCATTTTCAAATCAGAGAGAGGAATTGAGGTACAGCAGGGAAAACCCAGCTGCCACACCTGAGAATCCCTCTCTTCTTTTTATGGGGGAAATTCTTCTTGGGCTCCCAAGTTGCATTGCCTGGTATTGTGTGACCCTCAGATGGGATAAGGGAAGAAGAGTCCTGCTGCAGCCCAGCTTCCCCAAACTGGTGCCAGACATCATTTCTTAGGATAGACATGCAAACCTAGTACAGGCTGCTTGTGTCTGGACTGCTATTAGAATAAATGGTGATCATGGGCTGGCTTTGCTCAGCAGCCTGGTCATCAAACCTACCGCATACAGGAAGGCAAGCACAGCCAGTCCATTCGGTTTGTCTTTGGCTTCTTCAAAGCTTGAGTAGTCAGCAGAGTTGTAATGGACAATGTGCAGCTGGCAGAAGAAAGAGAGGAGTGATAAATGGCTTCCTCGGGGCTTTAATGGACCCAGTGCAGGCTGGAGGGAGAACCAAGTCCTGCTGCTTGTGCCTCACAGCACGGACAAATAGACCTTTAGTTCAATAGGTTTGTGATTAATATGGAAGAAAACTCAATCTTCGATATTAATGCTATCATAGTGGCTTTTTTTAGAGCTTTCTGTGCCAGCATCCTCAGGCTCAGCCCCTCCACTGCACCAACCCCTGCGCTTGCAGGATGCTGTTCCTCCCCTTTGCGTTGCCTCCCGCAGGCTTTGGCTGCAGCTTCCCTTTTCCCCAGACTTGCGATGCACCCTCCCTCCAGCCCCCCCCGTTCACAGGTACCTCTGCAAAGTATCTCATCCCGTCCAGGGTGTGTTCGGAGCCGCTGGTCTCCAGGTCCAGGCCCCCCCAGTGCAGGTGCATCTGTACGGCGGGGGAGGGACCTGGGAGCCCTCCGGAGATGTGCATGGTGGGTGGCAAATCGATCTGAACTGGGAAAACAGGGTTGGAGACAGCAATGGGTGCAGCCATGCCTATTCTTGTTCTATTAGAGTGCTTTGTGCCAGTTCCACCCTCTCTGGAATAAACTGGCACGGTCACGGTCAGGGCACTAACCCCAATACACAAGGAAAACCACTGGAGCTTAAAGATAGGTGTGCTTAAAATCTTTCCTGCCCTCAGGTTTGTGCACACACAGAGCACACCAGGCACAAAGGTGACGGGGCTCTAGCTGTCTCTGCAGATTTTTTTTTCCATCTGAGCAGCTCTGGCTTTCTCCTTACACACTAATAAAAGTGCTTTAATGCTCATCTCTCCCACAGTATGTCACATCTGCCAGGGCTCTGCACAGATTTTTTTAAACTACTTTATCCCCCTTTTCTTCCTTGGAAATAGAAACCAACAAAGTGGCTGGCCTCATCTAACCTGTCGTCATAATTTCCAGGGTTCTGGACTTTCCTAGGCACAGGCATCCTGGGCCACAGCCTTGGAAGTCTGCAGAGGCTGTGGCTGTATTAATGCTTGAAGGATTGGGAGAGACAGATCTCTTTGCTTCTTCTGGCCAAGCAATAGTCACAAAGAGACTATGATATATTTGCATTAAAATGCCACAAATCCTATATTATGTTAATAAATGTGCCAAACCTCGGAGTGAGGATGGAGAATTGCCTCACCTTAATGAAAGCCCACAAAAAGCCTTTGCTTCGCTGCTGCTGGCCTGGTCCCTGCACTGTTGGCTGCCAGCATCACCCGCTGTCATGGAAAGGGTGCATGAGAGGCCCCTGGATGCTGCATGTGCAGTGAGCCATGCACACACTGGGAGCTGTGTGTGTACCGTGACCACGCATGTGCAGTGACCCATGCGTGTACCGTGAGCTGGGCACGCACCGTGCCATGGCTTGGGGCAAAAATGGGGCTGAAGGGGACAGGCACCACTTGCTCCCTGTGCCTTGGCGCTTCTCCTTCTGCCAGAAAGGTGCCCAGCTCTCTTTCTGCCAGAAAGGTGCCCAGCAGCTAGAGCTGCTGCAGGACCAAATAAATGCCTTGAGCTGCATGCCCTGGGCACTGTTTCAGGCTCCTCCTTTGTCGGCAATGACTTCTTGCCCAGCTCCTCTTTTAGGTAAGTAATGAGAAGGATGCCCCCAGCCTTACCCGAGTGACCGTTGTTGGTCATCGTGAAATCCCCTTGCAAAGGCCCATCGTAACCAGTCAGCTCCAGCTGCAGTAACTGGGGGTTGTACCTCACTTTTCTCCTCTGGATGTCAATGGGAGACTGGTGCTTCCCAGCGCAGTCTGTAAAGTGCTTTCCCCAGTGCTCTTCATCCAGCTCTCCTTCTGTGCAGAGGAGGAGAAGCAAGCCTGGTCATCAGGTGAGAACCACGGTTAGCTCAGGAGTCAGAAACTCTCCTGGTTTGCCGGCAGGACATACTCATCCCTTGGTAATAGCACCAGGAGCTGCAGCAATAAAAGGTGTCTCTGCTCTCCCTAGAGTGCAAATAGACATTGCTCTGGCTGCAGGACAACTGTGCTGCAAAAATAAGAAACCTGCATTGCAGTAAGAGCTTATTGATTGCTGGAGAGCGCAAGAGCAGCGGTGTTTATACAGAAATGGGGATTCAAGTGGGTCTCTGCTGCTAAAGGTGTGGAATCGGGCTCCTCTGCATGGTGTCACTAGCTCGGGCACAAACGTTGGACATGGGATGAAGAACCAAAGGCCCTGGCTTCACCTGCATATGGTCATCATCTCTGCAAGTATTTAATATTAAAATCCTCCTGTGGTCACCGATGGAGGAAGCAAAAGCGTAGGAGCCCTGGCGTGCTGGGTACTATCCATTCTCCAGGGGCTCTAAGGCTCTTAGCCCTAATTTGATTCCCTCGCTATCATGGCTGTGACTGACCATCGGTGTGGAAAGTGTGATCTATTGATCAATATCAGAGTCATGTCTGTCTGAGGTGACTACAGCGAAGGAATAATCATCATGGGATTGTCCAACTCACTGACTTCAAACCCTGCAGAGACGGTTTGGAAGGAGAGGTGATTGTTTTAAATAGAAAAGAATTGAAAGCTACTTCATCATCTTCCTAATTTTCATATTATTATAATTACAGCCACACCTGGGCATTTGTTACTATTTGCCATTTCTTGTCTTTTTATTTCATTTAGGCAATGTCAGTTTGGGGGGTATTTGTTTCCTGACATCGATTAAATCTGGGGGGGCTTACTGTCCTAATTGCAATATTGCCTCTATTCAATAGCCTTTGTTTTAGCTTGATTCCCAGCCCTGTGAAGATCATAAAAGGACTGCCATTTACTTCAACCAGCTCTGCAAACAACACCATGAAACAAATGAAAATCAGCTAAAATTACACAAAATATCTAAATACATAACTAAGTGCTTCTTAGTGATCTGTACTGCATGGGGTATGACAATAAACTAATCAGCAGGCAGTATTTAAAGCTTTTCCTTCCAGGATCATCCAAAGGGCAGCTTTTATTCCAACACACTGTCAAGATTTTCCCCATTGTTTGAACCTCATCTGTCTGCCAACGTGTCCCAGACCACACAAAGGAGTAAAAAGGGGTGATGTGTAAGAGAATTGCTTTCAAGCCACACAGGCATCAATAAAGGGGAATAAATTAGCTGCTCTGTGGAGATCTTTCAGTAAGGGAAAAAGAGTCAAGCTGAGTGTTGCCTCTGCAGCAGGAAAAGGATGGGAGCATCCTTAGCAACCGGCACTCCCCCAAAAAACAGCCTCGTTTTTTTGTTACCTGTGTACGTCCAGTGCACGTCGTGAGAGCAGCCCAGCGGCACCAGGAGCAGGGGGAACCAGCCAGCTGTGATCCGCATGGCTCTCACAGGATCTGCAGAGCCGAGGGGGGAGTGCATGGCTTTAAAAATCCTCAGGAGCATAAACACCGATTTACTCCAGGTCTGGCCTTTCCATCCCACCCTTCTCCCCCATCCAAAGCAATATCAGCAAACACCGACACAGAGATATTTTATGTGAACAGTCAGCTTTAAATGTTAAAGGCACTTTATGGATCCTCTGAATGAAGCTGTCCAGTTTTGAAAGAAGAGAACTGGTTTCCCCCAATGGAAGGGGGGTTTCCCCCAATGTCCAAAGCTGCTGGCCCTGGCATTGCTGTCTGACCCCGGCTGCCACCCACCCTTTGCCCATTTTGTGATCCGTTCATTCCCAATGAGCATTCTCCTGAGCTTCAGCAGCTGCTCTGGACATCTTCAGACACTTGATTTCCTTCAAAATGTGTCCCAGCTAAATAATTGCCCAAGGTCCAGTAAAAAAAGCCATTTGTCAGAGCAGGGAACAAGAGAGTGGATTTCCTGCCTTTTGTATCCTCTGACCAGGCAAATGTCATTCCCTTTGAAAACCCTCCTCCTCCCCCTGGAACGACATGCTGCCTCCAGCCCTTTCTGCCCAGCAGTGCCTCCCAGCCCATAAACCCAGGGTTTAATAACAAAAGGGAGCAGAAATCTCCCCAGAATGGAATTCCTGGTCCTGAGAAGAGCTACAGCCTCCCCCAGATGCAGTAGGACTTTGCTGCTGATTTTAGGTGATGGGCAGCAATGCTAAACATTAGGCAAGAGAGCTCCCATCAGCAGAATCTCAGCACTTCTGTCTGCAGTGTCCCTGCCACCTGCAATGAGATTTGCAATTCTTATTTTCAGCAATACGTTCTAACAGCAATTCAACAATAAGAGCCATGGGGGGGGGGGGGTTACAGATTTCATGTGAACCCAGGTTTCTAGGATTAGGTACTGCTAGAGAACAGAAGCAGGTTTTTTATCCAAAATCTTATTTTTTGCAAGTGAGTTGTTAACCTTAAAAGGCCTCTCCTGGTTGGTGCAATGCACATTTTATCTTTGGGAACTGCTGTAGTATTGAGGTGATTAACCAAATGTGTATTTTTCCCTCTCTCCCCTCAAAAAGTCATTTATTCTGACAGCTGCACTGAACTGTGTCAGGGCTGCACTGATCAGACATGCCCTGCAACACACTTCCTAATCCTTGTGTATTTGCTTGGGTCAACAGGCTTTGAAATGAGCTGAGGGAGACGTTTTGGGGGTTTATACCTGCTTACACTCCAGGATTCCACCCAGCGGCACGGGAGGGCACCTCTGCGCCCAAGCATCCCTCCTGTCACCCTGCCATCATACATGGGTGTCATTTTGGGGCAAGCTGCTTCTCTCGCCTGTGCTTCACCCATCAGCGAGCCCGGTCTGCGCAAAGGGTTTGAAATGAAGGGGGGAAGGTACCGGTGCCAGGAAACTGGAGATGATGGTGAATTAATTTTTAATGGAGCTTTTGCACTGTGCTAAAATGGTGACATTTCAGTCGACATCAGCAGGAGCTGGGGGTGCTCAGCACATCCACAACCCACGTCTCTGCTAGCTCAGGTTAGCTGGTCCCAAATTAGTGGCTACTCTGGAAGACACAGCAGTCTGGGGAGAGGAAATGTTAAGGGCACCAAGTATGAATTTGCTTTGGAGTTACAACAGAACAATAATTTAAATTAAGCTCTTTAGATGTATTTGAATATTTAGCTTGTCTTTGTTGGCCATCTGGTTTGTTACCTCCATGTCATTGCTAAAGAGAAGCATGGATGTAGTGATTAGCAACTCTACAGATCACTGCCGGACCGTGCTGGATGTAAACTGGTGTTTTATGGGTGAAGATGACTGTAGGTCTAACAGGAATTATCTCCGCACCCACATTAGCCAGCTGGAAAATCTAACATCAGATATCTCAGCCATGAATATTCTTGGCATGGTTTCTTCCCAAAGGCAGGCTCCTTTCACACGGACACCGTTACACAGCCGCCAGCATCCCCCTCCCGCCCTGACGGCAGGAGGAAATAAGCCTTTAATCCCACATCATTGGCTTCCGTGCACTTCACTTTTATCTCTATCATTTTCCCTGACTCTTTGCCATCTTTTAAATCCCGCTGGTCCCAGGCTATTCCCTCTGTCCTCGCTGGCCTAAAGCTGAGCTCAGACCTGACTTTGGGGAGCCACATGAAAAACTTGACATTGCCTTGAAGTTCCTGGCTCAACACCTCGCTGCTCCTTTGACCCAGAACTTGAAAGGGTTAACTCCTTTCCCTGGGAATCAGCGGGAATTTCACCAGGGGTTGCAGGAATAGCTGTATCACTCCCAATCCAGCCAGCGTTTGGCCAGGAACGGGCTGTTTGATGTGAGATGGACAGATCACCTTCCACCAGGCGATCTAGGTTTCGTGAGCGAGTCTAAAACCTCTCCAGCCAGAGCTCTCTGCTGAGGTCGTGCTGGATGAATAAAAGCATCCAGAGCTACACAAGCTGGTGCTGGAAAGCCCAAACCCATGAGTAAAGCTGGTGATAGCTGTGTTGACTTAAACGAGATGCTTTTATTCAACAATTCCTGTAATAATTTTACATCTGCCTTCCTTTAACTTCTTTGAAATTTTGTCCATGCTTTTTTTGGGTTTTTTTTCCTTTTTGCCCCCTGGCTTTCAACTACCCACAGAGATCACAGAAGTCAGAGTGGAAAAGCGCTGGAACTTATTTCTCCAGTTCAGACAATCCCTTCAGGCCTCCTTCCTCTTATACGATATTTTGATGCGCTTGGCTAAATTCACCTTCTACCGACACAAATCCAGACACATTTGTTCATTCATCTGAAGCTTTGTGCTAGAAATGGGCTTTAAGTCGGTCAGAGACAGGCATCAGAGGTTTACACCAGTGTTCCTAAAAGCAGGATTTGCCCCCTTTAAAGCCGAGAGGTTTCCTCTGCAAATTCCATTTCATGGTCTAACAGATCTCAGCATCAGCTACCTGCAGTTCATTGTCAACCGAAATTTTCTTTTGCTCAGTTTCAGCCAATTACTCCTACTTACAGCTAGAGCCCTTGGATAAGCTTAAAATACTTTTCCTTCTTTAATGTTCCCGTCACTTCTGGGGTGTTTATCACCTCACCACGAGCAGGAGCAGCTTTTCACTCGCCATTTCCCCAAGGTGGCGAAAAGGACAATGGGATGCGATAAAAAGAGGAGAACACGGGCACATCATCCCTCTTCATTTTCCTTTCCAGGAAAAGTAATTACAGCTCCTGTAACGTCTATATAGGGCTGCTCTACTGACTTTGCTGAAAGTGGTTTCATGTTCTGGATCTCTGAGACTTTGAAAGAAATAAAACGTGAAGGGAGGATTGGGACAGGGAGGTCAAGCTTCCCTCTGCATTTAGGGTGAGATGCAGGAACATGGCCTGAGCATGGGGATCGAAGGAGTGCCGTTGAGAGCCAGCCTGGGAGAAATGTTTCCATCATACCAGGGCTCTGTGCTGTGGACTGGGTGGTGGTGGGACAAAAGAAGGAACAATTCAGTGGCAAGACAGCTTGGCAGCATGTGCGTGTCGACCTTCTCAGACACTGTTATTCATATTTTATGCATATCTGCACCTCCTTCCATAAAAATATTCATTTTGCTCCTGATCTCCTGGTGTAATAACATGCAGAGGAAGCTCAGTCTCTCTGAGAAGCAATTTTAGCAGTGCCCAAACACAGGAGAAGAGCCCAAGCCCCATAACAAACAACCCCTGTGCACAGAACAGATAACGGCTCTGGAAACCCATGGCCCGTTGCTGGGTAAGCACTTTTCCAATTTCAGCGGCATTGTGTGTTGAGCAGCTGTGACATCCAGTGGCCAAACACAATACGGTTGGGTTTGGTAGAGAACTCCCGGTAACAATAACAGAGTCCTTCCATTGCACTGCTCCTGCCAAAGAGCTATGCAAGCAGCAGTTCATTAACCCCTGCACCGCTCAGCAGGGCAGGTGGACATAGTGACCTTAAAAATACACACGAGAAGGGGAAGCCACCCTCCAAGCCCTCTGCAAGCATGGCCATCGGCTCTCCAGGGAGGGGACAAGCCTGCCTGGGGGTCCTGCAGGACTATCACCCACCACCGCTGCTGAGGGAGGAGGGATGGGGAAGGTGCAGCTCACCCGGTGTCTGATGAAGAGGCCACACCTGAGCAAAGGGTTGGGCTGGTTTTCCCCAGGGCTGGAGAGCCCACGGCTGGGGACTGGGGGAAGCTGTGTGAGAGGAGACAGCAGGAGCAGAGCAGGTTTGGGAGAGATGCTTGGGCAGAGCCCTGGCCAGAGGAGAAAGGTTCTGCAGTGGGTTTCTGAAGATGTTGGAGGACTTTGTTGGTAGATGTGGAAGGTAGGGAAGGGAGCGCAAACATGGATTTGGATTAAGAAATACAGTAATGGAATCAAAGAAATGTAATTAATGAGATCCCAGTGGTTAACTGGGATTCCTGTTGTGACAGTTAAATTGGAAGATGCAGAAAACAGAAAATCAGTGAAAGAGGAGCTGGGTCTCACCCATGGAGCAGGGCATCCCGGAGTGATGCCAGCAAACATCTATCCTCCCACTAAGAAAGAAGTGAACCAAGAGATGGGTTTTCACAGGCCCACATTAATGGGGAGGAACTACTGGGAACTAATGGGGAGCAACTACTCCATATCCCATAGAGTGTAAGATCCAGGAAGGCATGTAAAAATTACGTGTCTAGGTACGAGTTTGCCACCTTAAGCTTCCTTTCTAGCCCATGCAGAGAAGCAGGCTTGACACAGATGTCTCTGAGGTCAATCCAGACATGCCTGTTTCCTTTTCATTATGAAAGCAGACTGCATGACTCAGAGATCCAAACTAGGGACAGATGCATCCAGATTCAGAGATCAAGGAATCAGTCCCTGCTCTCCCCGTGCTGTCTGTGCCCTGGTGTTTGCTTGCTCAGACCCGCCGTGGCTTTTTGGTCCGTGCAGGGATGTTCAGGAAGAGCAA